GAGTATCTGCAGGTGGAGCACCTGACTCAGAGGAGTCCCTGGGGCGGAGCCTAGGAGAAAAGCACCTGGTTTAAGGGAGACTCAGCCACATTCTTCATGCAGATACTCCCTGCCTGTCCTCAAGCCCATCGGCTGTCCCTCCACACTTCTCTGGAAGGTTGATGCCCCCTCCCCAGAGCTGCCCTGCCCAGCCGGGCCAAACCCCCCACCTGGTTTGAGTCCAGAACCCTCAAGGCCTAATCACACCTCTGTCCCTGTGAGACTGTCCCAGGGTCCCCTGAATTGGCCCCAGGCAACAACCAATCAGGCTTTGTAGATAATGGGGGGAGTGGAGAGCGAGGGTGGACACACAGGAGAAGGCATTAGGATGGAGAGATCAATTATTCATTCATTGGCAAGCATGCACTGGCTGCCTCCTGTGGACCTCACCTCCCCGCTAAGTTCTCAAAAAAAATGGGAGTTTGGGTGGGGGCGTTTGGCACTGCTGCAGCACAGTGGATTAAGCAGCCACCTGCAATGCCGGCATCCTATATGAGCACCAGCCGGCTGCTCCACTTCCGGCCCAGCTCCCTGCTAGTGCACCAGGGGAAAGCAGCATGAGATGGCCCAAGGGTTTGGGCCCCAACTGACCATATGGGAGACTGGGATGGATTTCTGGGCTCCCATTTTCAGCCATCTGGGAAATGAACTAGCATTTCTCTCTCTTCCTTCCCTCTCTCCCTCTCCCTCCCTCTCTCTCTCTCTCTGTAACTCTGCCTTTCAAATAGATGAACCTTTTTTTAAAAAAATGCCTGTTTGGGACTGTCATCCTAATGTCAGAATGCTCCCAATTCTAGCTTCCTGCCAATGCCCACCTAAGGAGGGGGCAGATGATGGCTCAAGTACTTGGGTCCCTGCCACCCACGTGGGAGACCCAGATGGAATTTCTGGCTCCTGGCTTTGGCCTGGTCCAGCCTTGGCTATTGCAGGCACTGGGGAGTGAAACAACTGATGAGTGCACTCTGTAATACAATCTGTCTCTCTCTGCCTTTCCAATAAATACATTTAAGTGAAAATCTGTCCCACTGAAACGAATGGAATCAACTGATGTTTCAAAAATTCTATTCCTTTCCTCCTTGCACTGCCCCTGTGAATTCTTCTCAAGGACACACACACACACACACACACACGATAACCTTCCAAGGGCACATGTACTCTCCAAAAGGCCTGAGCTCTCAGCCCACCCCCCTGCCCTTCCCCCACCCCACCCACCCCCACACGCTCTGTCACCCCACCCCTCAGGTCACACTTTTCTCCAGGGACAAACACTTCCCCCCACACACAGACACACACATTTCCTGCTCCAAGGAGCCCGTGGGGGAATCTGTGTAGAGCCTGGGACCCCCTCGCCGGCCCCCCAATGTCTTTCCCTCTGCTCCCACCTTAGGAACTGTGCACAGTCCGTGGAGGTGGCTTCCGGCTGGGCCGGCAGAACCTGGACAGGTGGGCGGGCCGGCGCCGCGGCTAGACTCCACCTGGGGCGGCGGTGGGCGGGGCCGAGGCTTCGGGGGAGGGGGAGGGCCGGCAGCACGCGGCGCTTCCAGCTGGGAGAACTCATCCCGGGAGCTCGCGGGTTTCGGCCCAGAACCGCCTTGGTGCAGGCCCCACCCCCACCCCAGGGTCGGATCGGGAGAGGGTCCAGCCACCTCTAAAAGGTGGAAGTGGCAGCCGGCAGCTGCTCAGGCGAGTGGCCCTGATAAACAAGCACATTTCCGGCGCAAAGTCCAGGGTAGGAGTGGGAGCTCTGCAGGCCTGCGAAGCCGGTGGGCCGGAACCCGAGGGGAAGGGGCGGGCATTCCTCCCAGGCAAAGCCAAGGAGGGACCAAGGGCACTCCGAAATTGCCTGTGAACACGTGTGTGAGCCCACGTGAGCTTACCTGGGGTGGGGGTGGGGCTCACGGCTTCCTCTGGCCCGCGAGGCCCCTGTCACCCCAGCAGCAGTCTCCGCTCCCTTTAACCTCATTCCTTCTCCCAGGGCCTGGTGCTTCCTTGTCCAGTTCAGGAGTCACCTTCCCGAGCCCTCCCTCTGCCCTAGCAAGTCCTGCCCCTTCCAAGGCCAGAGCACACCCACCCACCCCGCCCCCCCCCCGCGTCTGGAAACGACGACTTCTTCCCGCCCTGCCTCCCCCTTTAGGCTGGGAGTCCTCCTGCGTGAGGCCAAGTGTGAAGATCTCTGGATTCAAGGCACCCAGCTCAGTGCCGGTCGCCAGGCAGGATCTCAGTAAACACCTGGGCGAGGAAGGGCGGCCTGAGCGGAGGCACAGACGCCCCCGGATTAACGGGGACCCAGGGCAGTGGAGAGGGGCTGCAAGTGGGGCCGGAGATCTGCGCTGGGAGGCGGAGGCCGGTTCACGCCGGTCCCGCACCCCTTTGCATGGGGTCCTGACCCTTCCCACCTCTTCCTCTCTCTGTGGCGCTGACGCCTTCACTGGGCTGCAGCCCCTCCAGACTGGTTTCTCTTCCTGGAACCGCCCCTCCACCCAATCTCCCTCCCCATGCTTCTCACACACTGCCCTTCTCCTAGACCTCTGCTTCCGCAAGCCAGCCCCTCCCCTCGCATCTCCACTTGGCCCTCAGCCCTCAGGTCTGGCTCAGGGGCCTCTTTATCTGGGCCAGTGTTCCCTGAGGTTGGCTAGCTGGGTGAACCCCTCCCGTCCCCTGTGACCTTGGTCCTTTTCCCTCCTGCCGCCCCCCAAGCCCTGGTATTGCCACTCTGCAGTTTTCCCTGTGAGCCAGACCCTGGAGGTGAGGCCCGCACTGTCCAGTTGCCACTGTCGCCCCAAGATCTAGTATGCAACCACAGACATAGAACGGGAGGGAAATGAGTTTTATCCTGGCTGGGGCACCACGGTGCCAAGGAAGAGGGGGGATTTGATTTCTGAAGAGGAAATCCTAGGATTCAGCTGATGTCCATGGCACAGTTCCGTGTCCCCTGCGCCGGGCCAGGCTTTCTGCATGTGGGTTCCCATGCATCATAACCTGAGTCACACATAAAACTCACCGCACCAGTCCTTGTCACGCATCCAGTGCACTCAGAATGGTGGGTGACTGCCACAGGGTTCATCTTCCCCCCCAGCTCTCAACAGCTTCCCCTCCCTGCCCCGCCCCACCCCAGGCCCCTACAACCACCAGTCTCTTCCTATCTGTGGATTTGCCTAGGAGGGACATTTCCCGTAAAGGGAGTCATATTTGTGGCTGCCTCTCAATGGACGATTTCACCAAATCCTCCTCACAGTGCCATGAGACAGATGTTAGTTACCCCCTCCCCAGGTGAAGGGAAGCAGACTGCGAGGAAAGAAGCAGTGTGTGTGTCCACGAGGGGACGTCCTGAGCTGCGCTGGATTCATTACACAGGGCTACGGGGGTGGGGCGGGAGCACCTGCTCCTGGGTAACCAGCCACAGGCCACACAGAACCGGAAGCCTGCCTCCCAGCCCCTTTGGTGCCACTCCCTCCTGCATGCAGCAGCCCCGACCAACCCGAAACAAAGGCAAAGTCCTTGTCCACTCCCCTCAAATCCCAAAGCCCCTCCCATCCGGGCACCTGTTCCCAGCTGCAGCCTTGCCTCCGGGTCCGAGCTGCGCCAGCTTGTTCCGGGACCAGGCCTTTCTTTCTGACCGCCATCTATAATGGCTCGGTAAATCCTTTCATTTCGGAGACCGCTTGGTCTCAGGACTCTTGCATTCATGGGTCAGATGTGCTCAGTGAATAGGCACTGCACGTCCACCCCGAGGCACATGCTGGAAGCAGCAGAGGGCAATCGGCTAGATCCCCCCACCCGCCCCTGCCGTGTGGAGAGCAGACAGCTGGGTGTCAGCTGCTGCCTGCGCCTCAGCCAGGAGCTCTGATGCAGTGAACAACCTTTGCCACCTTCCACGGCAGCCCTGGCAACCAGGTGACGGGCTCTGTGCTCGCTGCCGGGGACGGTTTGTGCCACCTTAAGGCTCTCATTGTGATGAGGACGGTGGACAGCACCAAGTACACGATGAGATTGCTTCAGATAATGGTCTGTGAAGAAGCTCAAACTTCACGTGAGCATGAGAGGAGGGGCCCCTCTAGCTAGCTCCGTCAGAAAAGGAGGGGACTTCCTGAAGAGGGCACGTGTGAGCGGAGACCCGGGTAAGAGAGACAGGGAAGGCCAGTGTCTGGGGCAAGAGCCTTCCAGGCAGAGGGAAGAGGCAAGACACACAGCCAGAGGCCGGAGTGCGGCTGGAGGCTCCCGACTGTAGGAGGAGTCAGTGAGGAGCGGTGGGAGGGGCCACGTCAGGGGCCTGTCAGTGAAGAGGTGGGAGGAGCCACACCAGGGCCTGTCAGTGAGGGAGGTGGGGGGAGCCATGTCAGGGACCTGTCAGTGAGGGGGCAGTGGGAGGAGCCACATCAGGAGCCTGTCATTGAGGAGGTGGGAGGAGCCACGCCAGGGCCTGTCAGTGAAGGAGGTGGGAGGAGCCATGTCAGCAGCCTGTCAGTGAGGGTGCAGTGGGAGGAGTCACGTCAGGAGCCTGTCAATGGGGGGGCAGTGGGAGGAACCATATCAGGAGCCTGTCAGTGTGGGAGGTGGGAGGAACCACGCCAGGGGCCTGTCAGTGAGGAGCGATGGGAGGAGCTACGCCAGGCACCTGTCGGTGAAGGAGGTGGGAGGAGCCATGCCAGGGGCCTGTCAGTTACCTGGTGGAGGCAATGGGGGGGTGTCATTTCCTTGCCCCCTCCTGTGACACCTTCCAGTTAAAGGGGTTCCTGGGTGGTCTGTGAGGAATGGCCCAGAGGGCCCGGGGAGACACAAGGTGACCAATGGGAGGCTGGTGCAATCATCCAGGGAGAAGAGCCAGGAGGCCGCGGGAAGAACGGCTGTGATTCTAGACGGATTTTAAAGTGGAGGCTGTCATGGTTTCCTGACTGGGTGTCAAGTTTAAGAAAAAGAAGGCAGTCAAGAATAACTCCTAAGCAACTGGAAGGTTGGAGCTGTCATTTTTCAAAGATGTATTTATTTGAAAGGCAGAGTTACAGAGAGAGAGAGAATCTCCATCCGCTGGTTCACTTCCCACATGCACAACAGCAAGGTCTGGGCCAGGCCCAGGCCAGGAGCCTGGAGCTCCATCCGGGCCTCCCACGTGGGCGCAGGGGCCCCCGGTACTTGGGGCATCATCCGCTGCCCTCTCAGGTGCACTAGCAGGGGGCTGGATCGGCAGCGCGCAGCCGGCACTCCAGCAGGGCTGATATGGGATGCCGGTGTCGCGCCTGCTGGGCCACAGCGCCAGCCCCAGAGCTGTCACTTTCTGAAGTGGGGGAACTCTGGGACCCACAGACAGGGACAGGAGTCAGGACTCAGCTAGCGGCCATTGAGACACGCACCCAGAGGCACCCTCAGCAGTCATTAGCCTGCGGCGGGAAGGGAGGCCAGAACTGCAAACTCCGCTGGTGAGACCCCCATGGAGGAGCAGAGAGCAAGCGGGGGGTGGGAGGGCATGGAGTGTGCCGCGGTGAGGTCAGGGAGGGGCAGAAATGCCAGAAAGGAGACGCAGGCGTGGCCAGCATGGGGAGAGGCGCCCCACCCAGGAAGAATGGTTTCACGGGCAAGGGCTTGGTCAGCTGCGTCAAATGTTGTAGATAGGTCAACTAAGATAGGGACTGACCTTTGAAATCGGCAGAGGAGGTCACGAGCGACCTTGGCAAGGACAGTTTCACTGGGGAACAAATATATGTAGTCTAAATAATATAAGATAATAGAAAAATAAATAATATATATTTGAGACCAAATGCCCAACTATAGCCTGCCTGACTACGAGAGCAGAGGAGAGAGGACCCGGAGACCACTGCTCCGAGGAATTTTGTTTGGAAAGAATCAGAGACCTGAGGAGGCAGACTCTGGAGCGCGGTGTGGGACAGCGAGGTTGTAGGAGTCGTTGGGCCGTGCGGTTACCTGGTCAGAATAATCCAGGAGCCAGGTGGGCATGCTGCACCCTGGTTAAGTCTTCCCTTGGTATGGTGTCCCATGTTGGGGTGCCTGGTTCGAGTTCCAGCTGCTCCGTTTCCAATCCAGCTTCCTGCTACTGTGCTCCCTGAGGGTAGCATAGCAGATGGTGGCTCAAGTACACGAGTCCCTGTCACTGCATTGGAGACCTTGACCGAGTTCTGGACCCCGGCTTGAGCCTGGCCGAGCCCTAGCGGTTGTGGACATTTGGGGAGTGAACTAGTGGATGGGACACCTCTCTCTTTCTGTCTCTCTGCCTTTCTTTTTTTTTTTTTTTTTTTTTTTTTTTTTTTTTAATCTACAGGAGAGACAGGAAGTTGAGGATACAGAAGGAGGAGAGGGAGGATTGGAAAGTATGCAGTCCCGGAGGACTCCCAAGGGCGGGGTCACGTGTGTGGGAGGGGGCTGGCCTTGGACAGGAGCAGGAGAGTCCCTCTGAGTCACAGGAGGAAGGCAGCCTACAGGGCAAATACAGGAGGCCTGTGATCTTCCGATGGCTTCCAGTTTTCCAGAGAAATGGGAGGCAGTGTCCTCAGCTGAGAGGGAAGGGCGGGGAGCAGGTGCTGCCATTCGAGAGAGAAGAGAAGGTGTGAATCCATCAGCCAGGGCACAGGGGAGAGTAGGGGCCCGAGCGACAGGCTCGCCGGGCAGCACTGATCACCCCTGGGGGTGAACGGACAAGGTCAGTGAGTTGGGTGCAGTGATTTTTGCTTCCAGTCACTCCAAGTGCAGGGGGGGAGGAGATGGAGAGGGATTTAACTAGGGCTGGAATTTGCCAAGCAAATGTTCTGAAGCAAGAAGGGAGCTGAGCCGTAGGCAAGGGAGTCATTGCAGTGATGGGCCACAGAGTGGGGTGGGGAACCCAGGAAAGGGGATACGCATTTCAGGCTCGATGGCTGGGGTACTAGGGAAGGGTCATGGGAAAGGTGGAGGGTGGTGGGCAGACGGTGGCAAACAGGTTACCCAGGGGATCAGGGTCTTGATGAAGATCAGTCCTAGGGAAGGAACCACAGCACGATCCGGGGTGGGACCTACAGGCCGGTGGCGGTTTTGCCTTGTCTGGAGCAGGTGAGTAACTCAACCTTCTGCAGCCGAGGTCTAAGGATAACACTGTTAATGCTCCGCTGATAAACGGCAGAGCTAGGATTCAAACCCAGGCTCCGACTCTAGTTCTAGCACCTTCACGCTCCTATTGCAGCCACTTCGCTCTGCTCCTGTGAGTCATACCGTCAAGGTGTTCAACTCCTCACAGTCATCGGGAGTGACAGGCAGCAAGCACTTCCTTGCCAAGAATCGCTTCTGTATCCCAAGGACACTCCAGGGCTGCTACCAGAAAAACAGGGAATGGAGGCTGAGCAAGCGAAAGCATTAGGCAACCTCATCCCACCCACACCAGCTCCCTGCTCCCGGAAGATGCAGCCCTCCGTGCGATGGACGGACAGGACTTCCAACCCAGAGGCCTTGCAATGGTTGCAGCTGCGGGCAAATGCATGTCACAAAAAGGCTCCCGGCTGGCACCGACAGATGCGCAGTCACTATTTGCTGGGTGGATGCAAGGCTAGAATTCCAGGGGGCGCACTTGCTCCTTCCAAGTTCCCAGATGGTGTAACCCTTTCCTGTCTGTGTGGGGACTTGTGTTCCGTTTTGAGCAGGTGCCCCTTGTGAACAGGGGGAGGACACCTTCTTCCGCAAAGCCTCGAGAGGGAGGCTGCCCATCTGTGGCTTCTGGTCACTTCCGTCCTCCAGAGAGGACTCAGTCTTTCCTTGGGATGTAGAAGTGCCCTTAGGAGAACTACACACTCCTCCTCCTCCTCCTCCTCCTCCTCCTCCTCCTCCTCCACCTCCATGCAACCTCACCTCCCCTGGAGGCTGGCCCTTCCCCACTCCTCAATTGCCAGGCAGACTCCAGCATTTAGAGTCCCCAACGTCCCACTGAGGCCTGGAAACTACGGCCAATCACACAAGGGCATCCAGCTCAGCAAAGGATGTATCCACAGCGGGGTTTCCTAGGAAACCTGAGACGAGGGACCGGTTTTGAGATTGTAGCTTCTAGGGGCTCCTCACTTCCCCAAGGGAGCCAAGCCTATCGTGGTTGCGGTGTTGCACAAAGCCCTGGGGAAGCGTGTACAGAGTCTCTTACCTCCCCCTGAAACTCCAGTATAATCACCTCCTGCAGTTCCACATCAGAGCCAACACTGAGGCTCAGAACGGTTCTTCCCAGGCCACCAGCTCCACTTGCCTCGGCTGCTGGGTAAAGAGAATTAGCACACACGCACCGTCTGTGGCCTTCCCGTGGTTCATTATCTCCGGGGTAGCCGGGGATAGGAGGGACTGCCACACCCTGTCCATGCCAGCAGCCAGAGGTGGTAGACCCGCTGGAAAGAGCTACCCACCATGTGGCTCTGAGGACCTGGCACAGTAGAGCTGGTCACATTCTTGTTTCTCATGGAGGCCCGTGCAGAAGGAGAACAGAGACAGGCTGGTGCCCACCTATGCCCCCAGGGATTGGAGCTGTGCCCTTGTAGAAATTCTCTGGGGGCCGGTGTCACTTGAGCCTGGGTGTGACATCTCTCCCCAGGGAGCGGGAAGCACACACCGACCTTGTTCCAGTTGCACACTTGCACGCAAGTTGGCTGGGGGAGGGGAGGGGGCAGGGTGGTGCTGGCAAAGCAGGAATGTGCCCTCAGGGGCAAAGGGTTAAGAAAAGGGTGGAGTTGGGACACTGCCTTCAACCTTTCTTTGTATCATCCCTGTGCCAACCACCAAATAACCCCTGAACAATGCTGAGTGCTAATGGACTTGGGTTGTCACAGCCTCTTACCCTCAAGCCGGCACTGAAAGCAACAGGGAACAGCCAGAGCAACCTCCTGGCCTGCAGTGCAGCTTTCCCTCATAAAATGGGCTTTGTATGCTAAGCAGGCTGTGTTTGAGGCAGGAGGACAGTGAGTCACTTGTGATTCGGCTGTCCAGTGTGCTATTGGCTGGAGGATCAGAGTGACCTGGTGTCACTTAAAGGCAGGACACTCTTCAAATCCCGGCCTGGTTGCCTTTGCCTTTTAAAGGGCCCCACTCCATCAAAACACAGCAGAGTTGAGCTCATTGTTTTCCCAGAATAAAATCTCTAATGCTTTCTAAGTACACAAGGACTGGGTTTCTTGCATCATTTTCCAAGACTGTAGGGAATGACGTGTGTGGGTGGCAGGCTCCTCCCCGTGTGTGCTGACAGGGACTTAAAGAAAAAAGATTTATTTATCTGAAAAGCAGAGAGACTCAGAGATAGAGAGGGAGATGGATCAATCTTCCATCTGCTGGTTCACCCCTGAAGTAATCGCTACAGGCGGGGTTGGGCTGCTGGAAACCAGGAGCCAGGAACACCATCTTGATCTCCGACATGGGTAGCAGAGACCTAAGCACTTGGGTCATTTTCCACTGCCTTCCCAGACGCATTAGCAGGGAGCTGGACCAGAAACAGAGCAACTGGGACTTGAACAAATGCGCGGATGTGGAATGCTGATGTTTCGGGCAGCAGCCACAATGCCAGCCCCTGGCAGGAACTTTAGCCAGCTCTCCGTTTGGGCAGCACAGCCTAAGAGACCCGGTGCAGTTAAGCTTTCTGCTGTGGTTCAAAATGGCGTCAAAGCTGAGCTCCACAAGGTAGCAAAGCAAAATGATGACGTGACAACGAAAACCGTCTCAGAAGTCTGCCAGTCTGCGAGGTATAGCCGACACCTTTTTGGCACCTGCAAATGTTCATTAACTGTTAACCATTGTCACTGAGGTTTGTTCCTGTTCTAGTGTACGGCTCTGTTTGCATTACTGGGTAAATTTCATTCTCACCAAGGTCAATAACAGTTTGTTATGCTTCAGGGAAGTCCTGAACTTCAAGCTGCCTGCACCTTGTGTGTGTGTGTGTGTGTGTGTGTGTGTTGGGGTGGGAGGGGTGAGGGTAGATTTCAGCTTTGGGCCTCACAAGACTCCTTGGGGCCAAATGGCCTTTGTCAGGCAGTTTGTATAAAAGGGACTTCATCCAAAGCCTCTGCTGAGTTAACTGGGCCTTCCACTAAATAAGGCCTTGTTTCCTAGAGGTTTTCTCTTCTCCACAAGGAAGCTAACACACAGGATTCCAGGTAATCCACAGCCCTCACCACAGCTTGACACAAACACCTGGCACCTCTCCCCAGCCCAGCGGGAAAACACACTCAGGCACACTCACTTGCTGACCTCCAGCGTGGTGTTCCAATAGGCTTTTCTCACAAACAGGGCCTCTCCCTTCAGAAACAGCTCCTGGAACAAAGGCAGAGATTATTTCTGAATTGACAACATGGCTTAGTTGCTGCTGACAGTGACCAATATCATCGACTATTAACCTAAAAAACAAATTACTCTTTTCTTATTTAGCAGGAAAGATACTTTACCTTTCTTTGCTGATGAACATGAGGAATGATTTATCATTCTTAGACGTCAGGAAAACATAGAACTTAGGAATCCGGTTAACGTGTTGCTTATTTTAAGCAAAAGAAAGCTTCTTAGTGTTGTGTGGGCAACATTTATTTTATTATTAAAAAGTAAGTTTGACAGACAACAGAGACAGTTAAGGCACTTACGGAATATACAAAGGCACTAGCCTTTGGGGCTGCACGTAGCAAAGAAATATCTTAAATACTTCTGAAAATATTTTAGAAGCCAAGACACAAGGGCATGCTTTAGGAGAACATAGGAATGTAATTTGGAGGGAAAAAAAGGCATATTGGAACTACCCATTTCCTTTAAAATCACTGCACAAAACAAAGCAGCATTCAACTTCACATTCTGACCTTACACAGTTTATATACAATAGCTTGACTTAAATCCAAGAAGCAAAGACAGGGCTCTCACTCTGCTTATTCTGAAAAATAATTACAAGGGACACCCAGGTAATCTACCCTAGTCTGGCAGGTTCACTTGAGAGGCATTTGTTGTGTAGAAGAGAACAGACTGGACACTTTTTTTTTTTTTCTTTTTGACAGGGAGATTTAGACAGTGAGAGAAAGACAAAGAGAAAGGTCTTCCTTCCGTTGGTTCACCCCCCAAATGGCTGCTACGGCCGGCGCTGTGCTGATCCAAAGCCAGGAGCCAGGTGCTTCCTCCTGGTCTCCCATGCGGGTGTAGGGCCCAAGCATTTGGGCCATCCTCACAGACTGAACACTTTAAGGGGTGTCCTTGATGTCAATTTGAGGAGGGGGCCAACTTGGAGAGAGTCACCCACTTCCTCCAAACACAGTCTCTGCTGGTTCAGCCTTGAATTTCACCAGTTTTGTGTGTGCATAACAACTTAACAATTTCACCCAGATGGTTCTCAATTGTACCACCATTTCTGCAAGACTATAGACCTTGTCTACGAAGAAAATTAAATGGAGGGCTGGACATTTGGTCCAGAATTAAAAAAGAAGCTTGGGATGCCTGCATCCATGTCAGAGTGCCTGGATTTGAGCCCTGGTTCTGCTTCTGATCCAGCTTCCTGCTAACACACACCCTGCGAGGCAGCACATGATGGACCCAAGTACTTGCCACTCATGTGGGAGACCTGGATTGAGGTCCACGCTCCTGACTTGGGGCCTGATCAAGCCCTGGTTGCTGTAGAAATTTGGAGGGTGAACCAAGAGATTGAAGATCTCTCTCTGTCTCCTGCCTTTAAATAAAATACAAATAAATAAATACAAACTTTAAAAGGAAAATGTATTTATGAATTTGACAAATCTTTCTCAGTTGTCACCCATGGAATGTATGCCAAGATGCGTTGCATAGGAGTGTGCTTCTTTCTCCCCGTAGTCTTGCCAAGGCAGGGTACTATAGAACTCATGAATTTTTGCCAAATTGGTAGATGAAAATGGTAGTTAAGGAGAGTTTTATTCTGTATTATTCTTTTTTAAAGATTTGTTTTATTTGAAAAGTAGAGTGATAGAGAGAGAGGGAGAGACAGAGAAAGAGATCTTCCACCCACTGACTCACTCCCAAATGGCAGCAATGGCTGCGGCCGGACCAGCACAAAACCAGAGCCTGGAACTCCATCTGGGTCTCCCACACAAATGGCAGGGGCCTGAGTACTTAGACCACCTTCTACTGCTTTCCCAGGGGCATTAGCAGGGAGCTGGATAGGAAGTGGAGCAGCCGGTACTCCAATTGTCACTGTGATATGGGATGTTGGCATTGTAAGTGGCAGCTTAACCCACAGCGCCACAACGCCGGTCCCTATTCTATATTATTCTTACTGTAAAGAGATTGAGCTTGTTTTCTTATTTTAGAAAGCCATTTGTGGACCAGCGCAGCGGCTCAATAGGCTAATCCTCCGCCTGCGGCTCCAGCACCCCGGGGTTCTAGTCCCGGTCGGGGCACCAGATTCTGTCCCAGTTGCTCCTCTTCCTGTCCAGCTCTCTGCTGTGGCCCGAGAGGGCAGTGGAGGATGGCCCAAGTCCTTGGGCCCTGCACCCGCATGGGAGACCAGGAGAAGCACCTGGCTCCTGGCTTCAGATCAGCGCAGTGCGCCAGCCGCAGCGTGCCAGCTGCAGCGGCCATTGGGGGGGGTGAACCAACGGAAAAAGAAGACCTTTCTCTCTCTCTCTCTCTCTCCCTGTACACTCTGCCTGTCAAAAAAAAAAAAAAAAAGCCATTTGTATTTACCTTTCTATAGACTTTTCACAGTCATGAAATTTTGTGTTAATCTTTTTTATTGTCATTAATTTACATATTGAACTTTAAGTAATTTTATTGATTTCTAATTTACTAACATAATCTGTATTATAAGTTACAAATATTTTTAGCATTTACCTCCTGTTTTTGCCTGTTCTATTTTTAATTTATAGTAAATTTTATTCATATTTTCTTTTAAGATCTGTGCAATTTGTTTAAAAGATTTATTTTATTTGAAAGGCAGAGTTACAGAGAGAGTAGGAGAGAGAGAGAGATATCTTCCATCTGCTGGTTCACTCCCCAGATGGCTGCAACGGCCAAGGCTAGGCCAGGCCAAGCCAGGAGCCAGATCCTTCATCCAGTTCTCCCATGTGGGTGCAGGGACCCAAGCACTTGGGCCATGCTCCGTTACTTTCCCAGGTGCATTAGCAGAGAGCTGGATCAGAAGTGGAGCAGCTGGGACTCAAACCAGCATCCATATAGAATGCCGGCACTGCAGGCAGCAGCTTAACCTGCGGTGCCACAGCACAGGCCCCAAGATCTGTGAATTTTGAGTTTTATTTAGAAAAACCCAATCCAAGTTATAATGGAATTCACCTATGCGTTCTTCTCTCGTGGACTTTATTTATTTTGGACTTATTTGTTTGAAAGAGTGGGAGAGACAGATAAAGAAAGCTTCCATCCGCTGCTTCACTTCCCAAATGGCTACAAGAGCCATGTCTGTGCTAGGCCGAAGCCAGGAGCCAGGAACTCCAACCGGGTCTCCCACATGGGTGGCAGGGACCCAAGGACTTGGGCCTTCCTCTGCTGCTTTCCCAGGCCATAAGCAGGGAGCTGGCAGAGCAGTGAGGACTCCGATGTGAGAGGCAGCACTACCATACAGGAGGCGGCAATGCAGGCAGCGTGTCACAATGCCGGCCTGTGGCTTTCTTTTTTGATGTTTAAATATTTGACTCACTTGGAGTTCATCTTGATAAGTGATATAAAATAGAATTCCAGGGCCAGCACCGTGACACAGTGGGTTAAAGCTCCAGCCTGCAGCACCACCATCCCAAATGGGTGCTCCATTTCCAATCCAGCTCCCTGCCAATGGCCTGGGAAATCAGCAGAGAATGGCCCTAGTGCTGGGCCTCTGCACCCACGTGGGAGACCCACAAGAAGCTCCTTGCTCCTGGCTTTGGATCAGCGCAGCTCTGGTGGTTACGGCCATTTGAGGAGTGAACCAGTGGATGCAAGACCTCTCTGTCTCTCCCTCTCTGGATCTGTAACTCTGCCTCTCAAATAAATAAATCAAGCTTTCAAAAATAATAAATCAATCTTTCAAAAAACTTTATAATTAAAAATTTTAAAAATAAAACAGAGACCCAGCTTACTTTTTTAGGTAGTCACCAGGGGTTGTAACACCATTTATTAAAATGTGCCGCTTTTCTCTTTTTTGACCTGGTGAATTCCTGCATGCATTTGGGTTCCTTTTTAACATTTTCTCTTCTATTCAATGGGTCTGTGGATTTGTGTGCCAGTACCACGTGGGTCTAATTATTGAGATTTGAGATGTGTCTCGTGCGCTAGCGAATATCGCCACGAAATAAACCACCCTGTAATTTAATCATTTAAACAACAATTGCTTTATTATATCTCACAGTCTATGTGAGTCAGGAATTTGGGCGGTCTTGGCCGGGTGGCTCTGGCTTCTTCACAGCCGGCGTCCTCTGACGTTCTGGTCAGACAGGCAGAGAGAGACCAGAGCGGCGTCGGAGGGGCGCAGGGAGGCGCTGCAGCCGCGGGGGCACCCCGCACCGCTTGCTAGGGAGCCCCCTAGACAGCCTCGCGTGGTGTCTGCGCATGCGCTGGCGTGGACTTCCTCACAGCATGGCGGTCTCGGGGACGTCAGACCGTCAGACCGGTTGCACTGCAGACGGCAGTCCCGTTTCCGGTTCAGGTGTCTCCGTGAACAGAGCAGGAAGAAGCTGCCTCGTCTGTTCTGAGCTCGCCTTGCAAGACACGCGACATGATCTCTCTGCATTCTCTGGATTACAAGTGAGTCATGCCGTGGAAATCCAAGGCGAGGAGCCAGGGGCCCGCCTCGCCATGGGCAGTCAGGTTGTGGGAGCCACTGCTGCGGCCAGCTTGGGAAAATACAGCCTGCCACCTCTTCCTTTCTGATGTCTTTGTTGATCTCCTGGTTCAGTTTCCCTGGCTCTAGCACCAGCGGTACTGGCTGTTCCTTCAATCAGCCTTTTTGGAAACCTGATACTTTATTTGCTTATTTATTTAAAAGTCTGAGTTATGGGGGGGTGGGGGAGACCTTCCATCCACCAGTTCATCCCCCAAATGGCTGCAATGGCCAGGGCTGGGCTGGGCCAAAGCCAGGAGCCTGGAACTCCATCCAGGTCTGCCGTATAGGTGGCAGTGGCCTGAGCACTTGGGACATCTTTGACTGTTTTCTCAGGTGCATTAGCAGGGAGCTGGATTGGAAATGGCACAGCCAGTACTTGAACAGGGCACATATGGGATGCCAGCATCGCAGGTGGTGGTTTAATCTACTGAGCCACAACACTGGCCCCCTGAAAACGTACATTTTATAAATTTTTTTAAAATTCATCTCCCATTACCTTTTTTCTTTTTCGTTTTGAAGGTGGACAAAGAGAAAGACAGAGATCTCCCATCTGCTGGTGCACTCCCAAATGCCAGAAACATCCAGGGCTGAGTTAGGCCGATGCCAGCAGCCAGGAACTCCATCCAGGTCTCACACGGGGGTGGCAGAGGCCCACGCACTTGAGTCATCACCGCTGCCTCTCAGGGCGCACGTCAGCAGGAAGCTGGGGTTGGGAGAAGAGCTGCGACCTGAGAGCAGGCGTTCTGATTCGGTTTGTGGGCATCCCAGCCAGCAGCTGAACCAGTAGGCCAAACGCCCATCACTGAAAATAAGATTTTAGAAAAATCAAACGATAAGGATAATGTTGTCTGTATCTGGTGGGGGAAAAGGGGTAGTTATAGATAAAAGACACTGCCCTGATCCATGTGGTAATGGATTACAGTTGGTGACATCCTATGATGTCACATTTAGCTTAATATAAATACAAATAATTGCATATAGAAGTATTTGTCACCTTGGGTATATACTTGAGTTTGTGTAACACACTTGTTTCCTTGCTGTGCCAGCTGAGGGAGCCTGGAAGCAATGATTCACTAGTAAAATGAGCATACTTGATGCCCAGACTTGTTTTTTCAATAGAAACTTCAGTTTATTTGAAAGGTAGAGAGACACTGAAAGAGACATAGAGATCTGCCGTCCATTGGTTCACTTTCCAAATGGCCAATGGCCGCATCAGCTAGGGCTGGGCCAGGCTGATGCCAGGAGCTCAGAATTCCATCCAGGTGCCTCATGTGGGTGGCAGGGACTCAAATACTTGATCCATCTCCTGCTGCCTCCCAGAGAGCACCTTAGCAGGAAGGTGCATTGGAAGCAGAGCGCTCCAGTATGGGATGTGGGCATCTCAAGCTGTTTCTTTTTCTTTTTTTAGAGATTTCTTTATTTGAAATGCAGAATTACAGAGACAGAAAGGAGACTGATCTTCAATCCGCGGGTTCACTCCCCAGACGGCTGCAATGGATAGGGCTGGCCCTGACTGAAGCCAGGAGCCAGGAGCTTCATCTGGGTTCCCACGTGCGTGCAACAGTCTAAGGACTTGGGCCATCTCCTACTGCTTTTCTAGGCCTAATTAGCAGGGAGCTGGATTGGAAATGGAGCAGCCGGGACTCAAACTGATGCCCATTTGGGATGCTGACACTGCAGTCCGTGGCTTAACTCATTGCGCCACAGCACAAGCCTCTCAAGCTGTTTCTTAATTGCTGCACCAAATGCCTGTCCCACCAGACTTTTTTTTTTTTTTTTTTTTTTTTTTTTTGACAGGCAGAGTTAGACAGTGAGAGAGAGAAAGGTCTTACTTTTCCGTTGGTTCACCCCCCAATGGCCGCTACGGCCGGTGTGCTGCGCCAATCCGAAGCCAGGAGCCAGGTGCTTCCTCCTGGTCTCCCATGCGGTGCAGGGCCCAAGCACTTGGGCCATCCTCCACTACCCTCCCGGGCCACAGCAGAGAGCTGGCCCAGAAGAGGAGCAACCAGGACAGAATCCGGCGTCCCAACCAGAACTAGAACCCAGGGTGCCAGCGCCGCAGGCACTAGGATTAGCCTAGTGAGACGCGGCGCCGGGCTCTGTCCCACCAGATCTGGGTTTCTGATACATTCCTCAAGTAACGAAAACCGAAGTTCCTTGTGGAAATTGCTGCTACTGGGACTGAGGCAGGAAATACACCAGATGGGGACTGATGTGGTAGATCAGATAAAGTCTGTTGCCAGTGACACCAGCATCCCATGTGAGCATGTTTCAGCTGCTCTGCTCCTGATCCAGTTCCCTGCCGATGCACCTGAGAACAGCGGTGGAAGATGGCCCAAGTGTTTGGGCCCCTGCACCCACGTGGGAGATCTGGAAGAAGCTCCTGGCTCCTGGCGTTGGACTGCCCAGCTCCAGCCATTGTGGCTATTTAGGGAATGAACCGGCAGATAGACGGTTCTCTCTCTCTTTCTATCCCCCCCCCCCCATTAACTCTGTCTTTCAAACAAAAAAATATTTTTTAAAAAGTATAAAGTCTGGGGCCGGCGCTGTGGCATAGCAGGTTAAGCCACCGCCTGCAGTGCCAGCATCCCATATAGGCACCCGTTCAAGTCCCAGCTGCTCCACTTCCAATCCAGCTCTCCGCTATGGCCTAGGAAAGCAGTGGAAGATAGCCCAGGTCCTTGGGCTCCTGCACTTGTGTGGGAGACCCAGAAGAAGCTCCTGGCTCCTGGCTTCGGATTGGTGCAGCTCCGGCTGTTGCAGCCAATTGGGGAGTGAACCAGCAGATGGAAGACCTCTCTCTCTCTTTCTCTCTGCCTCTCCTCTCTCTGTGTAACTCTGACTTTCAAATAAATAAATAAATCTTCTTTTTAAAAAGTATAAAGTCTACCTTATTTTTAAAATTTTTTAAAGATTTATTTATTATTTGAAAGAGTTACAGAGAGAGAGGAGAGGCAGAGAGAGAGAGAGAGAGAGAGAGAGAGAGAGAGAGGTCTTCCATCCTCTGGTTCATTCCCCAATTGGCCATAATGGCTGGAGCTGTGCCAATCTGAAGACAGGAGCCAGGAGTTTCTTCAGGTCTCCCATGTAGGGGCAGGGGTCCAAGGACTTGGGCCATCTTCCACTGCTTTCCCAGGCCATAGCAGAGAGCTGGATTGGAAGTGGAGCCGCTGGGACTAGAACCAGTGCCCATATGGGATGCCGGTGCTGCAGGCGGTGGCTTTATCCACTACACCACAGCATGGGCCCCATCTTCTTTATTTTTTTAAGAAGCACTAGTTCCTCTGGCTCAGGAGGACGAGATTTGCCACAGTTTATGGGCTGTGTCCTGGGTGTTGCCAGCCACTGCCCCAGTTCCCATTGTCCCATTGGCTCGGGAAAGAAGAAGCCCAGCTGGCACTGCCAGCCCCAGCCTGACTCTACACCATCCTTCAGGTGAAAGGTCACACAGTCCCTGACCTAAACCTGGGTTGAGAGAATGGGATGTTTTCCCCAGAACCTCCACTATCTAAGTGGGCCTTGGTCAGCCAGTCCTCATCCCTCCAGCCTGAGCTCCCACCCAGCCTTCTGTCCATTACCCAACCTGGTCCACTGTCCCTACTTCCCCTGCACCTAGCCCCCTCCCCTGTCCAGTTTCCAAATGGAAGGTTGGGGGCAGGGACGTAGAGAAAAGCAGTCCCAGCCCCAAAGAAGCAAGCATAGAACAGAACCCCCATGGTCTGGGACTGGCCAAACCCCTTGGGGTCAAGGAGGACACACCCTGGGAACACCTGGTGCCACCAACCACCCCAACACCCACGCTAATCTAGAGGCGCTGTGTCATTCCCATCAGCAGCCCAAAACTCCTGAGAGCACTCTGTAGGAAAGACAATACTGAGGCTGCCCACAGGACCTGATGGTCGTCACAGTGTGTAGGTGGCACACACATCAGGACGGCCTGTGGTGGGACTACCCAGTGCACAGTCCCTTCACCATGTGCTTTAGGTGCCTGAGTCTGTGCAAAGCCATGTGTGTTCTGGATGGCAAAGACAGACAGGAGCGCACTTGTCTTGTAGATGGCCCCCGTGGACACCTGCTGGGCTGCCTCGTCTCTGGACAGCATTGTGTCCTTGCCTCGTACCCTGCCAAAATGAGGGTTGTCCTTCGGACAAGAGCCTTGAGGCTTCAAGTCCTCAGATTTGTGCCATGAAAACCATCTCCCGTTGCTCAGGCCACACATGCCAGAGCCTGAGGTCCTTCCCACCTTCGCTCCACAGTAGATGGCACAGCACCTGGCACACAGGAGGCACTGGGTGGACACAAGCCTGCGTGGCGGGGCTCCTGCGAAGCTACAGGCCTGTCCTCACTTTGGTTTCACTCACCTGGCCCTGAAGAAGGACTTCTCCAAACAAGGCAGCCCCAAATCTACAGGTTGGCTATGAGAAACATCCCAAATGTTCAGTATCACTTGAAACAGGTGACACCACCAAATAAACACAGACCCATGGGTTTTGGCTTCCATAAACACAAGTCCTCTTTTAGCTTTTATGGGCACAACATATATTTATATTTTATATTTTATATATTCTCCCACACAAGTGCAGGGGCCCAAGGACCTTCTACCGCTTTCCTAGGCCATAGCAGAGAGCTGGATTGGAAGCGGAGCAGCCGGGACTTGAACCCGTGCTTATATGGGATGCCGGCACTGCAGATGATGGCTTAACCCACTACACCACAGCACCGGCCCCAGACTTTATACTTTATACATATATATATATATATATATATATATATAACTAATTTCATTGGCTTTTCTTTCTAGGTCCAACTGTAGACTACTTACCCCATTACTACTTCTAAATGAAAGTCAGGGGCCAGCGCAATGGCGTAGCAGGTAAAACTGCCACCTGCAGTGCTGGCATCCCATATGGGCACCGGTTCGAGACCCGGCTGCTCCACTTCCAATCTAGCTCTCTGCTATGGCCTGGGAAAGTAGTGGAAGATGGCCCAAGTCCTTGGGCCCCTGCACCCACCTGGGAGACCCAGAAGAAGCTCCTGGCTTCTGGCTTTGAGTCGGTGCATCTTCAGCCATTGTGGCCAATTGGGGAGTGAACCTGCAGATGGAAGACCTCTCTCTCTCTGCCTCTCCTTCTCGCTGTGTATAACTCTGACTTTCAAAGAAAATAAATGAATCTTTAAAAATAAATAAATAAATAAATAAATAAATAAATGAAGGTCACTAAAATGGAGCATTTGGAAACTAAAATTGGCATGGTGAGTTTACCAAAAGCTCCTGCTCCAGGGTTCCACCAGGGGCCTGGCTGTCTGGGAACCCTGATAGCCAGCACAGGTCCATGTATCCACAGCTGGAATTGCCACTATTTGGGGAAGGTGGTTTTTTTCTCTTCTAAAATTTACTTTATTGATTTGAAAGGCAGAGTTACAGAAAGAGAAGGAGACAGAGAGAGAGAAGTCTTCCATCCTCTGATTTGCTCCTCAAATGGCCACAATGGCCAGGGCTGGGCCAGGCTGAAGCCAGGAGCCAGAAGCTTCATCTAGGTCTCCCACGAGGGTTCAGGGGCCCAAGGACTTGGCTATCTTCCATAGGGAATGTGGTTTTGTTAGCAGTGACTTATCAGCCTGCTGGGTTGTGCATGCGCTATTCTTGCTTTCTTGTGTTATTATTTATGAATTACCTTTAGTTTAGCTCTATTTTGATCAGTGTGGTTTGCTTTGGGTTGGGGGTTAACCTTACAATGTGTAGAACTGCATGTTTGCTTAACACTGTCTTTGGTCTATAATTTCCCATGACCGAGACTTCCAAGATGTTTATTTTTTGATTTCAGGATTCCTATTGTAACAGCAGATGTATGCACAACCCACTCAAAATTTGTGCAGTGATATTTGAACAGGTTGTTTATAAATTGAGGCCATTTCATTTACTTACAGCATCATTTCAACAGATGTAAAAATATTTTCACACTTAGAAGACATTGTTGTATAATACAGATTCTTGTATGCAAACTGTGCACTGTTTGCCTTCTATTTAGCTACCGACCATGAAGGGCGTTGTTTCCCAGCTGAAAGTTGGCAAGAGCAGAGGGGCCCAGGGTCTTTGCACCTGCCAGAGTCAGAGGCCCAAACCTCTCCATTCAGAGCAACCACGTGTCAGTATCTGCGTTATTTTCAGGAAGTACAGACACTACCCAAGGGCCCTCCATACACCTGCGAAACAACAGCAGGCTCACCAGTTTTCCCAGAAACAAAGGACAGTTCCACAGACGTGCCCTCTGCCCACCATCACCATCCTGCCACACAATCAGCCCGGGCCTTTTCCAACTCCACTCCTCGCAGGTTCAGCGATCTGGGCACCAAGACCAGCTGAAGCTTCAGGCATCAACCCCTCTCCCTGCTCCCACTCCCACTTCCACCCAGAACCTTGTCCAGAGAAAGCTCTTCCAGGCCTCAGACCTGGGAATGGGTACGTGTGTGTCCCTCAGGTGCTGGGGTGGACCTCTCTGGTCCTTTTTCTTGCCACTCCAGGAGTCAGAGCCTCCCCTGGGGCTTTTCAGGGACCTTCAGAAGAGTCTGGGACAGGAACCCAACTTCCCCTGGAAACTGAATTCGAGCCTGGTAGATACAAAAGAAAATTCAGCATCCACCTGTCCACCAGCAATGCACTCTGGGAAGATGCAGACACCTAGACCCAAGTTATGCAATCTGGCACCAGGCTTCCCCCCAACCCCAGCCCTTCCATCCCAGGCCAGGGGGCACCTGATAGCTCCTCCCCCTATTCTCTGCAGGGGCTTCCCCACCAGCATCCTGCAACCTGGGTCCTGTTCTACTCTGGGAACTGCTAGGGCCGGGAGAGGTGTTGTCTCAGGAGTGCAGCAGAGGTTCCCGGGGTTCCCGGGGCCTTAGGGGCTTTGCCAAGCCGCTGGGACATCTGCCGGGTGTCACCCAGGCATCACAGCCTTTCCAGAGTCAGTGCTTCTCCTGGGAGGACGCCAGCTGCCCCGGCACCCAGGGAGAGACTCGGTTCGCTGCACAACGCAAGACATCAGGCCAACAGTGTGCTGAGCCTCCGTGTAGTTTAAGCTGAGGTCCAGCCACACTGGGGACTCTCTCCCTGCGTTCCTCAGACCTGCTTAACATGGGGCCTAAGGAGCGACCAGCACCGAAAAACAAGAACCAGATCAGAAGTTCAAGTCCCAGGCTCACCATGACCTCAGGGTGCCAGCGAGAACCAGCGCAGGCCTGTTTTGCCATCTGGAGAGGCACACACGATACACCGAAAGGTTCTTGGTCGCCCTGAGCCCCGCAGAGATCCCCCGTGGCACACACGCACCCTGCTCTCTGGGGTCCCGGGTCCCTGCCGGTGTCCTGGGAGTGTACGTGCGGAGTCCTCTGGGCCACGGTGTGTGTACGCACAGGGAGGAGGGGAGACCCCAGAACAATGTCCTCCCCTCATCCCTCCTCAATAGGCGGAAGCCACAGGCTTCCTCCCTTTCCTGCCGCCCGCCTCCTGTGCGCCAGCCCGACGGAGGACTGACGGGAGAGGGAATGGCCAACATCAGCCCCACAGCCCCCAGGTCTGTCCTGAACCATAACCCTCCCATCCTCCACCCCCCCACCCCTGCCTCCAGTGGCCCCATTCCAGGCCACTCCCATCCCCAGCCTGGTGGGGGCCAGGCCGGAGGGTGACAGAGCCAGGCAGGGATAAGAACTTCCCACCCTTCTCTCCTGCTCTCCTCCCATCCAAGCCACCTCATTTCCTCTTCCTCCGCAGCACCCAGGCTCCCTGGACGGCACAGGCTGAGCACTCAGACGCGTAGTCCTGACCCCAGGCCTAGCTGCACCCGGCTGGCCTGGGTCAGCCTCCGGAGCATGGTCTGCCTGGGTCCCACTCCCCTGCTCGCCATCTTCTTGCTGACTTCTCACGTTGGTAAGTCTTGCCCTCGCACTCCCACCTCATTCCTGGGGCCCTGAGGCCCTGATTTGGCCCCCAGAAGCCCTATTGTATCCTAGAGACAGAAAGTGCAATGGTGGTTGCCATGGCTGGGGTGGGAGGAGTCTGGTTAATGGGTACAGCATTTCCATTTTGTAAGATGGAAAGGATTGTGCAAGGCAGGTGGTGGTGATGGTTGTACAGTACTGTGTACATGAGTTCAGGAGCACCGAGCGGTACACTTAAAACAATACATAGAACCGGGGAAAAGATAGCAACTCTCTCATGACTGCCATCACTTTGACTTGTTAGAAGGTGGAACGAGCACCAGGAAAACTCAGGCAGGAACTGGAATTCAGTGGGGGAGGGGAGCTGCCTTGACCCTGTGCGATCCTAGGACAGCCTGGGACTCTGCGAAGTTTCCAGTGGGTGCTCTTAGGATAGTGTGTTGGATTTGTTCAGTCATTCACTGGACACACACATACTGAGCTCCGAGGTCTTGGGCTAAGGACTGGGCCGTTCGTGTTAATGAGGTATTGTATGCAGAGGGCCCAGTACAGTGCCCACACTGGGTGCCCCACTTAGCGTTTCTGAGCAAGTGGCAGCCGGTTCCCTCCCTCTGCTCTCTGAGTGTTCAGAGTCCAGCGGGGGACCCTGGGCGTGGGATGGGAGCTGCACAGTCAGCACAGCTCCAGAGGCACACTGACCAAAGGGAGACGCCTGCTTGCTCTGCCCTGGGTAACCCACCTAAGGGGAGTCAGGAAAGCCCTCCTGGAGGGGTGCTCTTTGCTCCAAGCGCAAGAACTAGCAATGCAAGCCTCAGAGGCATGGAGGTGCATGGCAGAGCAGAAGGAGGGGGCAGAGTGTGAGCTGCAAGGGGTTCAGGCGCAGGCCCACGACCCTGCAGGCCCTGAGGAGCCATGGGAGGTCGCAGGCAAGAGTCACAAGGTCAGATGCGAGTCTTGGTGGGGTCACTTTGGAGCATGTGGCTGCTGGGATGGCCCTGGTGAGTAGGGATGGGGATGAAGTGCAGAAACTTTTAGGAAACAATTCACAGAATTCTGAGACTGGCTGGGACAGCCAGCACGGAAGTGTGGACTTTAGAAACAGAACATGCTGAGTCTTTAGAATCATACAGACCTAAGCGTGTGACCTTGGGCAAGTTGCTTAACTTCTCTGAGCCTTTATTCCCCTTCAATAAAATAGGGATAATAACACCCACCACCCAGGTCAGTCGGGAAGAGAAAATGAGAGGACATCAGGGAAGTGCTTAACTGACATCCAATAAACATTCATTATTACGACAGGGGGAGTCTGAGATGCCTGCGGGCTGGGCTCTGGGTGGCAGGTGCCATGCACTGAGTCAGGGTGCACTGGAGTAGGGCGGCTTTGGGAAAAGCTGATGGAAATACAGGTTTGAGCTGCAAGGCCGTCAGCTCAGTTTCTGACTCAGAGGTGATGGTCAAAGCCAGGGGTGGATGAGCTTGTGAGACAATCCAGGTGCCTCCACCTCCCCAGAGGTGTGAGGAGCCGACGGAAAACAGGTGCCCATCCCCAGGAGGCATCAGGAAGGGCTGGCTTCACTTATTCAGCATGGCTCTCTGAGCCTATTAACTGATAAACCGAATGGCATTTAAATCAATTAATTACTTCATCATTAACCGGCAGGAACAAAGGGGGAGGGGCTGGGAGGGCCTGGCTCCCTACAGTCTAGACTCGGCCCCACCAGGCCATGCCCGCTGGAGCTCAGAGCCTTGCATTCTGTGCCACTGCCAGGCCAAACCCAGACCATCCTCTCCCCACCAACCATAATAGCTTTCAGGCCCCTCCCCCCACCCCACCTAGAATGCCCCTACTCTGCCCTGGGAGCTCCCCTCCCATTCCCTCATCCTGGCTCCCGCTCCAGCTTTGAAAGCCCTCCCTCAAGCTTTATCTCCCAGGAAGCACCCCATTCCCCACCCGCATGCTGGGTGGGGACCCCCTCTCTGTGCTCCCGCACAGGGCACCCTGCCTTTGCTGGCTATGTCCATGTCTGCCTCCCAACTTGGCAGTGAGCTCTTGGGAAGCGCAGGTCGCAGGTCGGGGCCCTCCCTGTTTCCTGGCCTGGCGCCAGGGGCTTCGCGTCGGCTCCACACCCGCCAGGCTGCAGCACCCAGGCCCCGCACCTTCGATGCAGCCAAGCATTGCTCAGTTTCTGCGGGACACCTCCGCTCTCCACAGCTCCTGACCCACGCTGGGCGAGTGGCTCGGCTGCACCTGCGCAGAGCAGCTTGAGGCACAAGTGGGGAAGGGGGCCTGCTGGGGAATGAAGGGAGGAAATACATAGCTCACTCCCGCGACAGCCAGCGGGCAGTAAAGGGAAGCCATCTGGCAGGGGAGGCGGGGCTCGAGGATTTGTGGTTTTGTTTTTGTTCTTTTAGGATGAAGAGACTCCAGGGCAAGGGGCCAGTGCTCAGGAAGGGGGGAGGGAGGATGGAAAAGCTGATACAGCCAAGTGGCCCTGGGGCCTGGGGGCAGGGCAGGAGCGGGGTAGGGGGGGAGGTTAGGGCTGGGGACCCTCTTCAGAGGGCGGAGGATCAGAGGGCTGGGACCGGGCGCTCCCGGGGGCTGCGATGGCGTCACTGGTGTCCCGGCCCCAGGCGCGGCGGTGGACCTGACGCTGCTGGCCAACCTGCGCCTCACCGACCCCCATCGTTTCTTCCTGACCTGCGTGTCCGGGGAGGCCGGGGCGGGCCAGGGCGCTGACGCCTGGGGCCCGCCCCTGCTTTTGGAGAAGGACGACCGCATCGTGCGCACCCTCCCGCCGGGGCAGCCGCTGCACCTGGCGCGCAACGGCTCGCACCAGGTCACGCTGCGCGGCTTCTCCAAGCCCTCGGACCTCGTGGGCGTATTCTCCTGCGTGGGCGGCGCCGGGGCGAGGCGCACGCGCGTTGTCTACGTGCACAACAGCCCGGGAGGTGAGGCTGACCTGGCTAGGGCCGGCGGGTCGGGGGGAGCCCCTGAGATCACGGTCCTGGCGGGAGGGCTGGGGTCGCCACCCTGGCCGCTGACCGCAGCCTCCACCCCACAGCCCACCTGCTCCCAGACAAGGTCACACACACAGTGAACCGAGGCGACACCGCTGTTCTCTCCGCACGTGTGCACAAGGAGAAGCAGACAGATGTGATCTGGAAGAGCAATGGTGAGAGACCTGTGGTTCTGACCTCCCGCACTGGGGGCGCCCTCAGGAGCCTCAGCCTTGGCCCCTTACACACCATCACTGTGGTGCATCTGTGACCCTCCTGGCCAACCTCTAATGTCCTTTCACCGCCCTGGAGCAGGTCCCACGCCACTCTGGGATCCTGGTCATCTCCAGCCCTTCTGTAGTATGTAGAGAACCAGGAGTCTGTGGCTGGCGCCCTCCTTCCCTGTCACCCCCAAATAAGCACTATGTTAAACCCGATCTCTCCCTCTCCCCTGGGAGTCAGCTGGCACCGTCACAGTCACATAGCCCCCTTGGCAGAGAGTTCCAGGCCCCATGGGAAAGAAAGAGACCTGGTGACAAAGTGCCCACCACTGGCAGGGGGAAGTTCAGCCTCTTAAACGGATGTGTCCAGGCCAGGTCCCAGGTGCAGGAAGCAGAGTATGCTGAGGCTGGGCCCACCTGTGCCAGCCCAGCCCCGGGCCTGCCCTCCACCCCGACCTCCTTAGGCCCTTTGGGCAATGCACATGAGGAAGCTATTTCCTTGTGTGGCTCCAAAGGCTCCTGCCTTGGTCCGCAGACCCACAAGCCCCTGGCCAACCCTGGCATCCCTGAGCTGCTGAGAGAGGCGTACCCGCCCCTTAGGTCAAGGGGTCCACCCCTAGAGCAGCGGATGTGTGGAAGACCGGAAGGCAGGATGTCCAGTGCTGAGCATTGAGACAAGAAGGGGTGGGAGGTGGGGACTGGACCCTCGCAGGGTGTGGGAGAGAGTAGACAGAACCTGGACTGAGCCCAAAAGAGTGGGAAGATGGAGAAGGCAGGCAGGGCTCCGAGGAGGGGCACAGCTGTGAGCACAGGCAGGAGCGTCTTCCCAGAAGAGAAGGAAGTCATTCCAGAATTGAGGGCTGCTGGGAGTCTGAGCAGGTGCGCAGCAGTGGGGCTAGGGCCTGCTGTGGCCAGGCTCGCGGAACTGTATGATGAACAGGTTTCCTTGCCCCAGGTCTGATGACTGTGCATGGGGCGCACTGATGTGACCTGGGCAGGGGAGAGCGGAGAGAGGTGGCAGCAGTGCATGTGTGGTGCTGAGGGCCCTGATCTGTTGGTGTCCCCAGGATCCTACTTCTATACCCTGGACTGGCAGGAGGCCCGGGAGGGGCGGTTCCTGCTGCAGCTCCCAGATGTGCAGCCCAGATCGAGCGGCATCTACAGTGCCACCTACCTGGAAGCCAGCCCCCTGGGCAGCGCCTTCTTTCGGCTCATTGTGCGGGGTGAGGAGCAGAGGACGGAAGTCCTGGGCAGTCGGGGAGTCCTGTGGGTCGCCCGGATACCCCATGTCCCCAGAGCTACCCCATTCTTCAGCAGCGGGGGGCAGATGGGAGAAGGGCAACTGCTGAGGACACTTTCTGCCAGGCTGTGGGGCTGGGCGCTGGGGGCCAGGCTGTGCCAAGGACTGCCCAGGCTGCCTGCATGGAGGGGTCTGCCATGACCATGACGGCGAGTGTGTGTGCCCTCCTGGATTCACTGGTACCCGCTGTGAGCAAGGTGAGGAGGCAGGGAGCTAGGACCCAGGCAGGAGAGGGTGCCTAACCTGGAAAAGACCCTGGAGCCAATGGGATGGAGCGCGGGGCTGAGGGACCAACTCACCGGCATGCCTGCCTGTTTCTAGCCTGCAGAGAGGGCCGTTTTGGGCAGAGCTGCCAGGAGCAGTGCCCGGGCACATCAGGCTGCCGGGGCCTCACCTTCTGCCTCCCAGACCCCTATGGCTGCTCTTGTGGATCTGGCTGGAGAGGAAGCCAGTGCCAGGAAGGTATGGACCAACCCACCAATCCATGGCCGCACCCTAACTTGAACTTGTCCCTCTCACTCTGACTTACACACCGAGCCCCCCACAGTGCCCCGCTCACCCACCCGATGCCCACTCTGTCCCCAGCCTGCTGTACAGCCTGTGCCCCATCTGTGTCCCTTGACCATGCCCCCTCTAACCACCTCCTCTGTCCCCAGCCTGCGCCCCTGGTCATTTCGGGGCCGACTGCCGCCTCCAGTGTCAGTGCCAGAATGGTGGCACTTGTGATCGGTTCAGCGGCTGTGTCTGCCCCTCCGGGTGGCATGGAGTGCACTGCGAGAAGTCAGGTGCGAGCAGCAGGGTCTCCGGACCCCTTGAGACAAGCCAGCAGAGGAGACTGGCCTGCTTCTCTCCAGGAGCCGTCCCAGCCCCACTGCCACGGTGCTCACGGTCTGGCAGGTGCTCTCAGGACCAGCCACCAGACCGTGACTGGCAGCAGCATAGAGTGTATGGGAGCCCAGGGGAGGCTGGCCAGTCAGGGAAGTCTCCTGGGAGGAGGTGAGGTCTGAGATTGGATGTGAAAGCCCAGAGATACAGGGCTGGGGAGTGAGCACGGGCAACGCCCAAGGGCTTGAACAGCGGGACAGTGGAACAGGGAGACCAGAGGAGTGAAGAGGTCCAGTCCTGGGCCTCTGATTGCTGAAGGGTTTGCGCTTAGAAGGTGAGGGGCAGGAAGGAGTGGCCGGGCTTGTGTCTGCGAAAGACCCTTTTGTTGCTGGGTGGTGAGCAGAAGCAGGAGGCCCTGGGGAGAGGGGGTCTGCAGCCAGAGCCCCCCACAGGAGTCCTGACCTCCTGTTCTGACTGTGGGGATGGGGAGGCACCTGCTTGCGGGCATTAGTGTGGGATGGGGCGGTGGGGAGGGGGCTGGAGCAGTCCGTGGGACTTTGCTGGCTCTCAGGATTCAGTGACCAGGTAGACGGGGGCGCTTCTGCTGAGATGCCCAGCACGGGGGGAGGGGCACTTTGGTGATCGACTGCCCCAAGGCGGGGATGGGGGGGGCAGCTCCAGAACGAGTGTCCTTTCCTTCCCAGACCGCATCCCCCAGATCCTCAACGTGGCCTCGGAGCTAGAGTTCAACCTAGACACCACGCCCCGGATCAACTGCGCAGCCGCAGGCAACCCCTTCCCGGTCCGGGGCAGCATGGAGCTGCGCAAGCCGGACGGCACCGTGCTGCTGGTCAGCCCTGGGCCCCCAAACCCGCCCCGCCCCCACCCACCAGTTCATAGCTGGTCTCTCGGGTCCCCAGCCACTCCCAGACTTCCCCCTGGCTCTGCCACTGGACTGCCGGTGGCTCACGTGAGGTCAGGCTGATGGCGAGGGGCTGTCCCTGGGCCTCTGTCCCAGGCATCATCCCAGCAGACACACATGTCCCTGCCACGGGGTGCCCACTCGGCATTTGTCCCCTTCTCCTCTCTCTCCTAGTCCACCAAGGCCATTGTGGAGCCAGATAAGACCACTGCAGAGTTCGAGGTGCCCCGCCTGGCCCTTGGGGACAGTGGGCTCTGGGAGTGCCGCGTGTCCACATCTGGTGGCCAAGACAGCCGGCGCTTCAAGGTCAATGTCAAAGGTCAGTGATGTCCTCAGGCCAGGGAGCAGAGCAGGCCCTACCCGCCCCGCTCAGACAGGATCCTAGCAGGAAGGGAGGGCATCTAAGGTCACAGCCCGGCACCAGCCAAACAAGAAGGCTTATGGGCTACTGGGGGTCCAGGCTGAGCAGAGCTGAGTGCCTTCTGGAAAGGACATCACATGTGCTAGAAACTGGGGGCACTCTCCACCCTCACCCTCCCTTCTGCCGAGCCACGCCTTCCCCTCCACAACCCGCACACACGCACACACACACAAGTGTGCCTCTGGGGTGCTTCCTCCTGGCTCCGAGTCACCCCATGTGGGCACTCAGTGCTAGGAGAGGGGGAGCTCATGGGACCGTGAAACTCAGAAGGTGACCTGCTTGGCTTCCCAAAGCTGACCACTGCAGGGAGTCTGCCAGGTGAATGAGGAGGGAACGGCCAGGGCCCAGGCTCGCTCAGGCCAGGCGTGGTCACCCAGTCTAAGTACCCCATCACCTTCAGCACCCCGTCTTTCCCACCCGGGCTCCTGAGCCCCTCGCCCTCTGTATAAGCCTTCCCTCTTACCCGCCCCTTTCTCACGGCTGCATTCTGCTGCCCACCTCCTCAGCGGCCCTGTCCCACGCCCACGCCTCCACATCCGCCTCCACCACCAGGCCCTGCCTCTGGCCTTTCTCTCCCTACTCCTCCCAAGCCAGGCTTTGGAGCT